GGTGTTATGAACTCTTTTATATATGAATGGGCTTGATTGTTAAGGGCTTTAAATGTGAGGAGCAGGATTTTGAAAACTATTTTGAAATTTACAGGGAGCCAATGTAGAGAAGCTAAGACAGGAGTAATTTGATCTCTCCTTAGAGCTCCTGTCAGCACTCGTGCTGTGGCATTTTGGAMCAACTGGAGACTTTACAGTCTTCCTGGGGCATTACTGATTACAGTCATCTAGTCTAGAGGTAACGAACGCGTGGACTAGTTTTTTGAAGCATCCTTCTGAGACAGGATGTTTCTGATTTTGTTAATATTGCGCAGGTGGAAGAAAGCTGTYCTGTTAGAAGTTTTGGGTCATCCAGGCCTCGATGTTCTTGAGACATTCCTGAAGTTGAACTAAGTGATTAGATTCATCATGCTTCAGAKARATGTACAGCTGGGTGTCATCTGCGTAACAATGGTAGTGTATGTGGTGCTTTCTCACGATGTTGCCTAAGGGGAGCATATATAAGGTGAAGAATATCGGTCCAAGGACAGAACCTTGTGGAACTCCATGACTAACTTGCATGTGCATGGAGGGGTCATTGTTGACATTAGCAGATTGAAATCTATCTGATAAATATGATTTAAACCAGTCTAGTGCAGTTCCTCTGATCCCTATATGTTGTTCTAGTCTYTATAACAGGATCTTATGATCTATGGTGTCAAATGCTGCACTAAGATCCAACAGGACGAGTACAGAGACAAGTCCATCATCTGAAGCCATGAAAAGGTCATTAGTTACTTTCAATAGTGCTGTTTCTGTGCTGTGATCGATTCTAAATCCTGACTGGAATTTTTCCAGCAAACCGTTACTAACTAAGTAATCACACAGCTGGTTAGCAACTGTTTTTTCTAAGATTTTTGAAATGAAGGGCAGGTTTGATATGGCTCTGTAATTAGCTAAAACCTCTGGATCAAGTGTAGGCTTTTTAAGCAGAGGTTTAATAACAGCTACCTCAAAAGCTTGTGGTACATAGCCTGTCAACAAAGACATTTAATATGGAACTGTCAATCAGGGGGACAACTTCCTTAAAAAGTCCAGTTGGGACAGAGTCTAAAAGACAAGTTGTTGGTTTACATGATGAAACTAATAAGATCAGTTCAGGAAGATCAATAGAAGAGAAATGGTTCAAACATAAATCTGTTTCTATGGTTTCAGGACCAGACAGTGTATCTGTGCTATTCAAGGGAAGGAGGTGGTGGGTTTGATCCCTGATGGTTATAATTTGATTTGTAAAGAAGCTCATGAAATCATTGCTTCTCAGAGTTAGAGGAATAGATGGGTCAGTAGAGGTGTGACTTTCTGTCAGCCTGGCTACAGAACTGAAGAGGAACCTGGGCTTGTTCTTATTTTCTTCTAAATAATTATGATTTTGTCGTTCCTGTGTGTGTTATAGTTTCCCTCCTCTCGACGAACACTTTCTATAACCAATGCATTTAGAGCTGTATGATGATGTCAGGATAGTGTACGGATGTGGGCCACTATGTGCAATGATGCAGCCCTTCTGTCTTTCTTGTGGCCCGGACAAAATGGGATGTGAGCCTAAAAGTTGCCCACTTGTCAAATAACAAATATGGCCCAAATATCCTAAACAAATGAGCTCTGGAGATAATTGAGGGTGGTTTTGTGACAGATCCAGATTAAAAGTTGTCTATTTACTGCTTTCTGCTAAGCAAGCAGTATTAACTGTAGCTATATTTATGCATGTGTTTCTTAAACTGTTCCTTCAAGGCCATATCACAGTTTTCTTTGTCAAATAGAACACTCAACTCCACTCTTCTGTGATTTAAATACGCAGTCTGTAAAATAATGTTACTTCCATTTTATCCAGTTTATTGACATTTAATCAGGTTGAAGTCCAGTAAATTACCTTAAACTGTGCAAATGTAGGTGGTAAACTAGCCAAGGAAAGCAAACAGAAATTGTCACATTGAAATTGAAAACAAGTCCTCCAGGTGCTGATGACTAATAAAACCTCTGTGTGTACACAACAAACTGTCTTGCTCCACCCTCCGATGCATTGTTAGACAATACTGCAGGAAATAGTTCTGTATATTGACCACTGAACTGGTAAGAAAAAGAAAAGTAACACAAGACGACAAACTGGTTGATCAGAGGTTCATCCTGCAACAACAAAATGAATCAGAACACTGAAAGAAAAACAACACAAGAGCAGCTCAGTCTCAGGGATTCAATTTAGGATTTATGTTCCAAGATTCCTGTTTTAAAATGTTCTTTATGTGTTCTTTGCCTTGGTTTCAGAGAGGACTGACATATAACACCATGTACATTACAGTAACAAGTGGAAACATTTTATTTAACATTTATTTTTGTCTCCACGTCAGAGGTTTCAGGATTCTTTTTTTCAATTTAAGCAACACTATCATATTTATGATCTCTAACTGATCCAAAACCCAATTCTCCTCCTAAATCTAACATCAGAGTTTGTATAAATAAAAACCTCAGTACCCCCCCCCCCCCGCCCCACCTCTTCTCATCCTTTTTACTCATCATCTTTTTCAGTTGCTAATTTAGATTTTGGTCTTGTGTGATTCTGTGCCAGCAGTGAAGTATGATCTGAACGACGTGAGGAAACATGCCAAGTTGGACCGGATGAACAACGTAGCGACAGTCTTTGTCTTCTTCACGGTCCTCATCAACATCTTCATCACAGCCCTCGGCTTTGAGGGGCACATTGTCAGGTGGGCCACGACAGAACATACAATCGCTTACAGTGTACTGCTGCTGATGTAAAACTCTCATGACTTTGTTCTTGTCTTCATTTTCAGGTCAGGAGAATCACGTATTATTGCTATACCAGAGCCTCAGCTTGTTCCTCTGCCCAATGACATTAACGCGACTGGTGTCATTTAGACCAGTGTCTGGACCAAAATAACACATCTCCTTGTTCGTGGTCTCTCAAAGCATTGAATTCTTCTGGGCTTTCATGGATCTACATGATTAGGACATAAAGGCATTTCTGGAGCTATTCTGAGACCCACATTGATTCACCAAGTAAAATCTCATTGTCATTGACCATTAAACACATCCTCAACTCAGGATCTTATTTTAGTTCATTCATTTTTGCTATGGATTATGTGAAGCACTTTGTAACCTTATTTAGATAAGTGCTATACAAATAAAGTTATTATAATTAATTCCACTCAGCCAAATACAGACAACCAAAAACCTCAGATTGAATACATTGGCTCATCAGTACAGATGCCCACACCAAGGCACAGTGATGACCCCTCGTTGGACTAATATGTCTCAGAATGCAGATTTATGCCAAACTATTTAAAGCTTCTATCTTGTAAATATAACTGCACTATATTGTTTTGTACAAATGTTAGTGTGGTGAAATTAAGCTGATCTATACTATTGAACCAAATAAATGTATTACAAACACCAGCAAACATGACTTTGATTATGTTAATACTTGACTCCTACCTTCACCTCACTCTCCATTGTCGTGTTGTACACACACTGTGTTGTCGTTTCATAGAAGCTGGACACAGGATTGAATTTATTTTTATTGATGCTTAAAAAAAAAAAACAGAACCCCACAAGTCTGTTGCGACATGACATCATCATGTATATCTCACAAATAAAAACACATATTATAGAAAAGCTACATAAAAGAAAGAAAATACACAAAACATAGTGCAACATTTAATGCAAACAAGCAAAGAAATTGGAGAGGAACAGCATTATTCTCTATTTTTCTTACTGTCAGCTCATCCCCTGTAAAGACCAAAACCATGACCAGACCACGAGCCTGTTTCATTCCAAAGCACACTGTTTCCTAGTGAAGATGGACAGGATGGTTCAGAAATACTGTTTAATTCTAAAAAAGACAGTGAATTAAGATGGACTCTATTTTCGGCAAATGTTAGCCAACACAATTGTTGTTCACTATTTTCTGAGGTGGATTAAACCACATTTGTATTAGGTATTTGGGGCAGCAGGGGGTATTTTTTTAACATTTCATGGGATTTGGTGACATTAAGAAATATAGACTATAACTAGCTTTAAAAGGTGCATGGAATGTGTTTTTTTCAGCATTCTAGGTTCCACAGTGGTTAATCTGTGTATTAGAATGAGAAAACAACAAAAAATAAACCCGCAGAAATCTCCATTTGACCATTAATGGAGAAGAAATATCTTCTAAAACAAACCCTGATATCTGAACAAAAAATATCACTGAACCCCAGAAGGATTTTCTTCATTGTTTATCATGCAGCAATACGCGTAGTAGAGGACGGCTGCTAACACAGCTAGCAACACCATCAGGCGAATCATCTTCCACGCGCTGCCGCCGGACTTCCTCACCGGCCCCTTGGATTGTACTGCAGTGTGATTGGCAGCTCTGTTAGTCGTCTGGATGGTGGGCCTGAAGCACAAAAAAGAAAGAGCAGATTTAGATCAGGTGATCAAATACACATTAATAGTTCATGGTTTACTAATAGTTTATATGACAAGACTCACTCCGCATCTTGATCCAATTCCTCATCTTCATCTGTCTCAGCGTTACCTCTTCGTTTCACCCTAGGTGGAGAAATAACGTGCACTTAAATGTCAATCTATCAATGTAGTCAAAGAAATGTTGGCAAATTAACCAACACTACTGTTAAGTAATTACCTATCTAATAATAATAATCAAATAATTCCAGACATCTCTGTCTGTCTGTATTCGGCTCGCATATCTCAAGAACGGTTCATCTAATTGCCTTCATAATTGGCATTTGTATTGTTAATGACCCAAGGAAGTGCAGTGTAAAATTGTTGCAATGTGTACATGCCTAATGTGCAATATTAATACAATTTGGATAACAGGTGACCAGCGCACTGTAACTCAGCAGCTAAAGGGACGCCAACAACTGAATTTCCAGTTCCTGGTTCTGCGTACTGCGCTGGTGGTGCGGTCCTACAGCAGGTCTTTACATGGCTCAATTACAGTGGGTCACTATAACAGTTTCAGAAAGAAAGCTGCCACAAGCATTACCGCAGAACTAGACAGACCAATATGCAGTTTATTCCAAATATGGGAAAGTAGAGCAAGGTTCATTTATTCAAGCACTCTGGAATATTAAGAATATTCCAACTTAAAATCAGGTGTTTTTATCCACATGTGGCTCTACAACTAACACATTGGTCCACACATACACTTCAATATATGTACGATGTTGTTGTGCTGAACTGAGAGTAAAGTAACTTTCTGTCTCTTTTACTCTCTGCTTGTCTCTCTCTCTCTCCCTCAGTGTGTTTCTTATGAACAGCGCTGCAAATTTGACTCTTTTTTAGGACGGAGTATTGGGGCCATGTTGAAAACAAATTCTAAGATTTGGGGAAAGAATTCATAAGTTGAAATCGATACTAAAGTCATACTTTTATGAGCATGAAATCGTAAATGAAAATATATTTTCAATTTTATGAATCAAGTCCTGCTTAGTCATTTTCTTTTGTAGCAGTAGTCGGTCTGCAGTGATGAGTCAGATGCAGCAGAAAACTCCATTCACTCTCAAAAAAAAAAATCTTACAATACATATTGCATCACCTGTTTAACACCTGTTACAGAATCAACAGATCCTTTGTGAATACGTCACTTAGTCTTTTTCTGTCTTGTAGATGCAGCTATTTTGAGAACAGTTTTAAGTTAACTGATATAAACTAAGGAAAGCTAGAATATTCATCTCTTGTTGCTGAAGACACCTATGTACATTTACTTCAGATTGTGAATGTACTTATAACCGAGTGTTTATACCTATGGTATGTTTACATAAGTATATTTTAGATAAAAAAATTTCCCCCACATTGTATTTTCCCACATACAAGATTTCTACCTACTAGTTCCTCAAACCTCTGCCTGTCTGTTTATTGCAAACCGTTCATTTCATTGGCTTCGCACTTGGCATGTCTATTGTAAATTGCCCAAGAAAGAGCAGTGCTGTATTTTATGTGATTTACTTCCAATATTAATACATGTTGAATAAACAGGCCACCAGTGCTCTGTAGCAGTCAGTGGGGGCAGGGCGTTATGTTGACTTAGTTGAACATGTCTTCTTCTATGTCCCTGGAAAATTACTGCCAGATCATTTAGATCAACAGATTTTTTCCCTGACAATATCTGAATAAATATCACAGGGCTCACAGGGCTCGCAGGGTGGAGATCTCCGTCATGGTAATAATATTCATAGAATAGTGTCCTGTTTGGCAAATTGTCTTCAAAGTAAAGGCAAAACATTTGTTTTATTGCTCCAACGCTTCATATCAAGTTGAATTACAGAACTTTTATTTTGAAAATTTTGAATTTGGGTCTGTAGTCAATCACTCAAAATTATACATAAACGCACATGTGAACAGTACTAAAGCAAATTCTGTTTCAGTTTATGAAAAACATTGACTATAAAATCTTCATTGTAGATAAACAAGTAGGATGAACACAAAGTTTTAGAAAGTGACAGTTTAACACTAGTTAACTAAATGACAAACAGAACTCCACCACAGTAGAACTGGTTGTTTCCTGGTGGTTTATATGTGCACTGCAATGAACTGGGACTTAACAGGTGAAGGGGGGTTACAAGAGTCTCAACATCAAATTCTCCTCCCTCACAGTTTTACTTGGGCATTGAGTTAGTTTAACAGTTTGTATGGCTTTTTCCACGCGTGTGTTATTAAAGTGTACTCACATGTCTGCATAACCATCATGTCTAACCTGTGAAAATAAAAAGCAGAACAGATTGTGAAATTATTTACAGTCCCAGAGCTGTTTTAAGGGGGGTGGGTCAAGCACACAGGGCTAAGAGGACAATTAGGACTCACCGCACTGTGGTAGGTGATATAGGTGATTTCCTCCTCTATAAGAAAAAACAACAACACAAACCTCATTGAAATTAACATTATTGACTTTAAAGAAAGAATTATCAAGTGTTTACAGAGAAATAATAAGAGAAAAAGATCACAGTTTTGCGAGTGACATTAACATGCACGTCCATAATTATAATTGCTCTCATTTCAAAACAGTGCAACGTCAGCTCGTCCATTGTTTATGATGACAAACCTCAACAATAACAAATATGTGGAACAGAGTTTTACTTTTATTTCAGCTGTTAGTACAAACTCAGAAATCAAATCAAAGGCGGTATATCTTTAAGTCATAGAGAGGGGGCTGCGGGAGAAAGTTAATATTCAGCCACTGTTTGTTCACTCAGGCTGCAGTTATTTGTTTTATTAGACGTTTCGGGTAAGAAGGGTAAGGGGTGTGTTTGTCTTTCCTTTTTTACCCGTTCCATTTGTTTGGTAGCTTGTAGACAAAGACAAGGGGGGGCATGTCATGCTTTGTTTAAATTTAAGTAGCAAGACCCTGATAAGACTGAATCATTGCTGAGCGTCTTTTATTATAGGAAATAATAATGTGTAATTAGAAGTGTGTTTGTATTTATGAACTTGCCTCGGATCCCTCTTTGGGAATAAACTAAGTATTTTAAGTTGAAGAGGACTATTTTGATTATTGTCTATTATAGATCATCAGTGATGTTTCCTGGGATCATCAGGTGTCTCGTGTCTTTCAGAGGTCTCATATCCTTGTGATCCAGGCTAAGCTGATCAAACCTCAGGTTGTTTCAAGCTACATCCATATTACTACGTTTTGTTTAAAAATCAAAAGCATTAAGCATTTTAGGTCTTTATCAGTTTTAATCCACATCCATATTAACATGCCTAAAAACACATATCACACAACACACTCACTTACACTGGGTATGCTTATGCCCGTGTACACAGGGGGGCCCTTTTGCACTGAACCTCATCAAACTCCACCAGCATGTTTATGGTGAATGCAAGGAGGAGGATTTTTGTTTTTAATAAAGAAAAAACCCTTAACGCCTACCAAGCTTGTGCTGATTTCCTATTCCTCTTTTATCAGAATATGAATCATGTTTATGCCTCGTAGGTTTCCACATATAAGGAATTTGCTTCTTTGTTTTGGTGCATAAGAATACAATTAGTGAGGGGCAGACAGTAAAAGTAAAAAAGTTAAAAGACAAGTTCTTAATAGTACAAGAGCAGAACCATATATGAAAGCTACGCTATACGATAACATGAAATATCTATAATTGACAAATACATTAAAAATCTATGTGATAGTAAATTATTTTGGATTGCAAAAGGTAAGTTTTTTTTAAAGATGTCACCTTTGAAAAAATAACGCACTATTAATCAGTTAAAGGAAATAATATTAAGCTACAGCCCTAAAAAATGTGTTCATCAGTCAATACAGTCTGGTGAGTAGCTGTTTTGCATTTTGCATCTAGTGACAATATTTTCCAACGATAAAGCACCGGCAAGGAGCATCCTACCTTCCTCTCTGTAGTAGGTCTTATCAGAGGAGGCCTTCACTGGAGCGTTCTCCATGGCTTTTTCAAGCTTCTTCTCATAAAGCTTCCGAGTAGAGTCTACATTCACCCAAACACATCAACAGTTCAATGTTAGTAACACAGCACAAAACAACGCCTCATCTCAGAGTCTGCATCATCTCAGTGTGAGAGGGCATTTGGAGAAATCTATGCATTTCAAATGATGGAGTTTCATCAAGTAAAACAATAGAATGAATGATGTTAAGATGAATTGGTACAAATTTTAACTACGTTTAGATCGTTTATTATACTTTATCATCTTAAATGTACTGTATATTGCCTCCTTTTATACTGGATATAACAGATTAATTGAATTGGAAGCCTGAGTATATACAAATGTAAAAATAACTAGAGCAAAAGCTGTGTACTGTACAATATAACCATGAAGGTATAATACGTTTATTTATTTTCTTCCTCTCTCTAACGCAATGTGATGATTACTGTTAGAGTTACAGCAACTGTTACTGTTTTACTGTGTGTGTTTGATTTCCTTACCCACGATGGGTCCATGATTAATGTTATACTCAGTAAGTAACTGGCTGATCTCCTCATCACTTTTGTCAATCAGTGACATCTGCAGAAAGATATAGATAGATAGATAGATAGATAGATAGATAGATAGATAGATAGATAGATAGATAGATAGATATATGGATGACACTCGCAGGACATACATACAAAACAAATATTTTTAAATACATAAATGGTACTGTTTATACAGCTCTCACTTACTTGTATTTATATTTTTAACTGCAAATCCACTTTTTTCTACATATTTATTTCTAACAGCACAGTCGGAAATCTTCTATGTAGATTTTGGTTGTTTTTACACTTGCTTTGGCAATGTACACGTCTGTTTCCCATGCCAATAAAGCTCCTTTTGAATTTAAAGACAGAGAGAGAGACAGGTAGATAGATAGATAGATAGATAGATGGACAGACAGACAGACAGATAGATAGATAGATGGACAGACAGACAGACACACAGACAGGTAGATAGATAGATAGATAGATAGATAGATGGACAGACAGACACACAGACAGGTAGATAGATAGACAGACAGACAGACAGGCAGATAGATAGACAGACAGACAGGCAGGTAGATAGATAGATAGATAGACAGACAGATAGAGAGACAGATAGATAGACAGACAGACAGGTAGATAGATAGATAGATAGATAGACAGACAGACAGGTAGATAGACAGATTGACAGACAGGTAGATAGATAGATAGAGAGACAGATAGAGAGAGAGAGACAGATAGACAGAGAGACAGATAGAGAGAGAGACAGATAGAGAGAGAGACAGATAGACAGAGAGACAGATAGAGAGAGAGACAGATAGACAGACGGACAGACAGGTAGAAAAGGGGGAGACTCATGAAGTAGCATGTCGACAGTAAACACAGCGGGGGGAATGTGACGCTAAAGCCCGCAGTGAATCGCTCCAGCACTTCAGAACTCTCAAATCCAAACTGTCGCTGCCAGACTTCACTGACGGAATCCAACGGACATCACTGTTTGTTTAAACTTCGCGCGAAAAAGATGTTTCTGAAGTGGAACGTTTTACTTGAATGATCAATGAATTCATTTCTCTTACCTCGATAAGAAGCAGTGAAACGAGTTGAGTGCTGGAAGTGTGGCTGAAGCAGGAGGTGGCCGAGCAGGCGGGAGCAGGAAAGTAGGCGTAACTTAAGTCGTGAATGTGGACGACGTAACGTAACTTGGCACACCTACGTATTCCAGCAGAGAAGTTCAGATTCATGAAGAAGGTCGCTTCCTTTAAAAATCAATATGTCTGTTTCCTGTACGTAGCATTCAGTGTTAATATAACACAGTCACTTATAGGAGACATGTTAGTGACATCAGGCAGAGCGAGGAAGTGTTATTTATAAAGCACATGTCATATTTTAGTAGTTTTTCTCAATGTTGATGAGGGTTAAGGACAGAGTGTCCCACCATGATAAGTCTCAGAGACACACTGTGATTTGTAAATATGGGCTATATAAATAACATTTAATTGATTTATTCATACACAGTCATGGATTCAAGAGCTTACACCTTTACAATTGTTAAGAGATTAAAAGAGTTAAAAGAAGAAAGAAGGATAAAATCTGTATAAAACAAATAAAATGAAAGGGGACTATGATACAAATGAAATAGATAGAAATGTGTACAATTATTACAGGAATCCTACATTTATTTTGTTTTATACACAGTTCCTGTACTCGTATTTTTCCCTCGTTACTCCTCTTGATCCCTAATGATTTTGTGTGATGATTGTTGAGTGTATAAATCAAAGCTGAGAAAAATAGGGGCTGCTGATTGTAAAGCGCAGCATATTTAGCTGTAAAACCTTTTTAAAAAGTGGTGTGTATGTTAAAAGTCACCTTTTTACCAGCAATATCTGTGAATGTTGTCATCTTGCATAAAAAATGTAAATGATCTCACGGTTAAATCTAAACAGTCCGACGGTCCTTAAAACTCGAAAGCTTGTCTTCCATTTTCTTTTTAGGCACAAGGAAGAAAGGTTGTTGAGTGTGTCTTCGTGAATATGATGATCTTAATGGAACTGAAATTAGTTTTAGATAAGATGGATATTTAAAATAAATGCTTTTAAAAACAAAAAGCAACCAGTGTAATTGTCTCCTTGAGTGAAGTGGTTACCAGTTGAGTGAACATGATTCCTTCCCGAGGCTGTTAGAGCAGCATTTAGTTTTTTGGCAAAGTGAAGTTAGTGTTACTTATGCTATGGTTGAAACATGGAAATGATTTTGGCCTCAAAGTTCTGTCTAAACAATGTTATGAAGTTTCCACAAGCCTGTGTCTCCTGCAGCGCCCTCTGGAGGCAGACAGCGAGTCAGAGCGAATGAGAAGCTGGGATTTTTCCAGGAAGGGCGTTGGCTGCAGATTCCACTGATGTACACATTTTCCACTCACTGGAAACTGGCTGCACATTCACGCTGGAGTGCAATGCCTCAGTCGAGCTTCATCAGAGTGTTGAGAACAACGATAACGCTCATTTCACAGATACCACCACTGTGACAGAACATGACAGGACCCCGATACACAGATACAGCACCAGTCACTGTCAGAATATAAAATTTGAGTGGTGGCAGCTGATCATGGACAGTGATTACAACAAGATTGCTTGGATATACAATACACATACTCACATACCATTACTGGCAATAACCATTACTGTCATTGCTGCTCTATCAGACAACACTCACACACTTTTCCATTATGTTAAAAACTGCTTCAATCAATGTTGTAAATATTGTAATTTTGTGTTGATGTGTACACGCAAAATCTAATGCACTTCTGTCCATCCGGGGATAAGAGATAAGATAAGATAAAACTTAATTGATCCACATAACAAGGAAATGTACTTGTTACAGTAGCAGACAAGTCAGAATGAGTAAAACAAAAAATCAAATAGAGAAAATCAGAATATGTACATTATATACACCTTTTACTACAGAAATATTATTTGTGTAGAAATGTTGTTTACTAAAGTGCAGTGGCACAGGATGATTGCACAAGCATGTAAAACTGTATTTGTGCATAAGTATAAGGATATATTGGGATTGACATGTCCATATATGCACAGATTAGACAGTATATATTGTAAGTATATAGACAGATCAAAACAGAAAAAACGATATAGTATGTATGAATATACAGGTATAAATCCACAATATAGAATGGAAATATAAAGGTATGCAGTGAAGTGGAAGCGTTCCCTCTTGCACTGTGGGTGCAGCAGTCTGCTGTGTCACTTAGTAGGTTTGTTCATGATGCAGTTCAACTTGACCAACATCCTCCATCTCACCGACTTCCTCAGTGGAACACTGCAGAAGCCACCATAGCAAAAAGTCCTTAATGGTGTCTTGCACATTCTGAAGGACGTCAGTCTCCTCAGCAGATAGAGACGACTCTGGCAGGATGTTTGTGTCGGTGACATGTGATCCATCAAATGTGACTCTCTGAGGTGTCTGCTTTTTTCCTCACTCTGGTTGAGGGTTAAGACCAATGAGACAAATTGTGGTTTGTGAATATGGGCTATACAATAAAATGTGATTGATTTGTATTGATTACGTTTAAGACTCTTAAGAACCAGGCCCCAGGCTGTACCTCTGATCTTTTAATTCCCTGTTTACCTCTGCACTACTGATCTTTCATTAAGGGTCTGCTGTCACTTCCTGAATCTACACTCAGGGGAGACAGTGTATTTGTCATCAGGGCCCCAAAGCTTTATCGTATAAGTTGTTGGAGATGATGTTAAAAACCTACTTTTTTTCAGTAGGAACATTTCTTAATTTACTTTGGGTGCCAGTCTCTTATCTCTATTATTATTAGCATTATTACTTATGTGCTTCCGTCTGTATTTTAACCATTTGTTTTCTTGTTGTGCAGCACTTTGTGGTTATTATTCTAAAGACACAAAACACACAGCCATTAAATTGACAGAAAAATACTTAGACAACTTTATTGTGTATCAAAATACTGTCTTACAAACACTTTTAAAGCCTTTTATTTAGGACAAGATCATTTTTTTTGTTCTGAAATGTAGATTACGCACAAAGCGAGCTGGAAGGATGAGGGGAGGGGGTGTGTGGCGACTGAACAGGGTGAGATAAACAATGAGCAGAAAACAAAGCGACACATCTGTTCTCTTTTGTTTTGGGTCATCGTGTTTTCAGGACATGACAAACCACAGCATCATCTTCAGCCCATCTGTCCAGCACAACATCAGAAACTTCCCTTTTTAAACCTATTTTAATTTATATGACAAAAAAACAAAAAACTGTGTCAAAGTGAACCACAACATAAGTCATGTTCACACCATTCTGAACCAGACGCTTTATGTATTGGAAGAGCTTAACAACCGAATGAACACGAAGAGCACATGGTGGTATTAGAACACAGAAAGTGTTTTTCTCAGCAGCGGTGTTGGAGAGAGCATGTGTGAAACAAACCACAAGTGAACTACTGTGAAATGTGTCTCGTCTCTGTTCACTTTGTCGCATCATCTTTCATCATTTGTATTATTTCCCCTTCGACTCTAATCTATATTTTGGTTTTGAGAACAGCAGTGGCTAAAACTGGATCACACTAGCAGCAGGTAAAACAACTGGGTTAGTTAAAGAGCATCATGAATACCACATGCTGGAGTGGACCGAGCCAGTGCTGGGCACCAGCACTACGAAGGCCACCCCTGTAGATGCAACAGACGAGCTGTTCATCTGACTCTTATACTGACAATTCAAACAGAGTGTGTCACAGCGTGTAAAAGAACTTTTACACATTCTGGAAGGCACATTATATCTGACACTCTTTGTTCATATAAAAGCCCATATAAGCTGAATGCATTTTTTGTATATAAGAGGAGCTCCTCCAGTGTAAAATGTAACCTTGCATCCAATGCTGGGCTCCGTCGGGCCAAAATCTACTGCTGCTACACTATGCTAAGCTAACCTATTATCCTAAACTAGTACAAACACATCTGCTCTTGTCCATGACAGAAAATGTAAAATAACCTAAGGCACAATTGACTGCCAGTTTACAGTAATGAATAAAGGTGCACGTTTCTCCTCCCTAGGTTTACTGAATGATGGGAGGAACAGAAGAATGAAACAGGAAATGGAGCGAATGACCATAAAGAGAGGAATATTCAGTGTCTGTCGTTCTTCTTTGGGAGCGATTCTGGACTCTGGTTACAGTGAAGCAGTTGGTTTTAAAATATTCACTTGCTGGCTGAGGGTAAACACTGATGTGACCGCTCTTTTTATTGTTTTCTTTCTAGCTGGTTAAAGTTGGAGTCAGTGATTCTGATCAATACGCTCTTTTCATTTCTCCAGAATGCCTTACTCCCCCTTCAAATAATTATACTGTAAAATAAGAAGCCAGAAATCTTGTAATGTGGGAGGGACTTGGAGCTGTAAACATCAATTGGTTAGATTCTAGAAAGAATTTCATTTGTTTTAAACACTGGTTTAGGTTTGGGACTGGGGCCAGGGTTTTAGACGGTGATGTGGTAGGGGCTGCCGGGGATGTGTTCGTCTCCCCACTTGACCACCAGGATGTACTCTCCTTTCTCTTTGAGCTGGTAGCTGACATTGTACAGGCGGTTGCCCAAATGTTTCACTAGGATCTCTTCACAGGGAACCTTTGGACCGTCTACACCAACTAGGAGCATGTTACGACCTGTGGATGGAGACAGAACAGATCAGCTTCATCTACAAATACAAAGAAATGGGAGCACTGAGGCTATTCAAAAATTAGAGCTAGTGTTATACTGTCCAAGGATCAAGATTTATAAAGTCATGTGACATGTTTTCAGACATGAACTCTTGAGGATGTCTGCAGAGTTGGGTCTAGATTTGTCTCTCACGCATTAACAACGCATCGCAACATTCTCCACTCCGACACGTTCTCACAACACAGAAATCTATGGTGTTTTAAGGTGAGGGTTGGTGCAGCAGGCCAAGGAATGACGTCACGTGCTGTGGAGATGCACGTGTTCTAGCACATACTGAGCACAGTATAGATTTTGTTTTGCTTAAATTTGATTTTTCTTAGTGTCATTATTTCCTTCAGATTTGAACTAATGTTAGAAGTCTTGCATCTCTTGGTCACAATCACACTCACCAGCTTTGCTGCAGTCAACACTGAAGCTGTTCTTCTG